TGTTTTCGGTGAGTCCCCTCGCCTCTCACAATTTGGCGTGGTCGTCTTACCTGTTTGAAATAAACTTATTTCAATAAGTGCACAAAAAACTACGCCCATGTTGTTATTCCTGGTAGTGTTAAAAGTAGTTAATAATTATACAGTTTTTAAATGACCTTAAAATGACCTTGATACTTGATATCCGATCTTGTTCTTAAGTTCATCTTATTGTAAAATTTCCGAGGTCAAAAAAGAGAGGCCCATGTAAAATTTTGAATTTGATCTTCAAACGACCTTGAAGTCAAGGTCAATGATTTTCATGGTCATATCGAGATAGCCCCCTTTTCACCCTACAACTTTTGTATGAAACATTTTTTTAAAAAAGTAATCCCAATGAGGTAGGCACTCCGTTGTCTCAAGATTTTTGTTTTTTTTGTTTTTCATGATCATTTTTTGGTCAAAATATGGGTTAAATCGAAAAAATAATGAGAGCAAAAAGTATTTTTTTCCGTTTTTCAATCGAAATCTGTGGTAAAAAATGGGTGTTTCCGTTAAAAAAAAATCAACTTTCTGTCTAAAACACCACTTCTGGAGACCGGAAGTCGTAATATGGACTCTTAATGGCTCTCTCGATGCGCTACAATTTTTGTCTGAAACTTTTTTCGAAATAATCGAGTCCAACCGAGATACTATTTTGTGTCAAGATAAATGCCTCATACGGTATATACATTTTCATAGGAAATCTATGAAATTTAGGTTCTATTTGTATTTATTTAACAAATATTTGCATTCTATAGTAAAATATAAAGTGGATAATTTAACAAATTTGTAGAAAAGTTTAACAAAGCTTTTTAAAATTCAATTTGTAATAATATGTGACACAAATTGTTGTTAGTTGTATGTTCTATATATATTTGAGTCAACACTGCTCCAATTGTATGAATTTTTAATATAACGTTATGTGGAATTTGGTAGAGTTATGTGTAATTTAATGTATTCTATATTTTAGTTCATAATAAAATAGGTACCATTCCTACATATTGCAAGTGAATTCGCATGCATAAATATTAAATTTCCTTTTAAAACTCCATTCTGTGTGCTCTAAATGCATTGTCATATGTAAACAGGAAAATATAACTGTTTTGCCTCGGTAAATATTCCCGTAAAGCTGAATCAACTTTTGCATGACTTTAAAAGTGTACACAGCTTTTAGGTTACTAAAAAATATAGAAAAAAATTATTTACTGTATATTGCAAGACATTTACCTAAATCGAAAAACCAAGTTATAGTTATGTTATTCTATTTGATTGATTGATCCTATTAATATATATATTTTAATAACTTATTTGAATTTTTCTGGATATATAGAGTAGGTACAAATAAAAGGAATAAATTCATTATTTCGTAAATCGGGAAATTTGGAGAAAAGTCCTGAAACATTTCAATTTATATTTTTAAAAGTAGATCCTGCAAGATGTTTGTTTTACATACAGGGTGTCTCACGGTGACGAGACAATAAACATATTTCAGGGACTACTTCGATTTTAATTTGTGCAATAGTGTCTTCGGGCATGCCCTTCTCAACTAAAATAATGACACTTGAAAAATATCTCGAGGCAAAATTTACTACCGCGCTACGAGTATCAAATATTTATAATTTTTAAATTTTTTAAAATTTAAGTGTCTCGTGATTAATTTCTATTCTTTTGTTCATCAAATTCAATAAAAAAAATTTATTAGTTCGTTAATATTTTTTAGAGGTCGCTCGAAAACATAGGTACGCTACTTTGAAAGTTAAAATAATTATGAGACCTTTGCAAATTAAAATATCGATTTGAAATTTTCAGATTCGAGATTTTTTTCAATCTAGAAAATGATAAAATAACGAGAAAAAAACAATAAAAAAAATTTTTTTACGATTTTGGAAATTTTTAAACATGAGCGACCTCTAAAAAATTTTTTTTTGAGGGGGCTCTTAAAACATGATAACCTAACATATTTTCATAAGAGAATCGAAAAAAAAAATCGTTTTTTTTGGGCTACCTAAATGTAGTGCGGGGGTGCACTATCTTGCTGAAGCCATAAATCATGCATCTTCATGGAATGTAGATTCATTAGAAAAAAGGAGTCTTTTTAGAAAAAAATCGAATTTCGGTTAATTTTTTTCCAATAAAGTTTCACAAAATTCGACTCGTTTATCAAAATCGTTTCCAAAAGCTCCTGAACTAAGGTAACTTTGAAAGTTTTCTTATATTTCCTTCAATTGTCCAAAATATCTAGGAGGGGATGTGAGAATTATTGGATTTACATAATCTTACCTAAAAATGAATACATACTTAATTTAACCAAATTTCTCCACCGAAAATGTTTAAAATATATATATGCTTTATTATTACTACATATTTTTAATAAAAAAATATTTCCAATTTCTTTGCAGTAGAAGAAAACTTCACTGCCTGAATTGAAAAAGTTATATATTCTTTAATATAAGTGTAATTTCTTTTAAAAAGTTAATGATCTAATTATTTGGATTATTTAATTTTGTTCCAGACTTTTTAATTTAGCAAAAAGTTCGAAGTTCAGAAAAAGCTAAGCAAGCAACGTTTAAAAAAGGGGAAAAGTTATATGTAAATATTTACCATGGCCCCACTTGTTTCTCAAGTTTTATTGTTTTGGAAATTTCAATATCAGGAAGTAAAACAGTGAACACAATCAAAACTTTGGTCAGACTTAAAAAACAGGTAATAGGTACATGAGCCAATTTTATTTTGTATCTCAGTAATCGGTGTTGATATTTTTCGATGAAAACAAAAATAAGTTGGGGTCAGGATACCCAAAGTCTAATTTGAAATACGAATAAGATATCTCGAAAAACTTAATTATTTATTTTATCTAAAAAGTAGAGACTAAAATTATTTGGAAACAATTTAGCACTACTTTGTATAGTTCTTCCGAAGTCAGTTGAACATGCATAAAAAACCAAGCATTCAAATTTAATGAGTTTCATGGGCGCCCCTAAAAAAGTTTTCTGCTAATGGTGGAAAATGATAATAATTTTTATATAATGTGTAGAAAATTTCTATTAATATGTTCATTTGACCAACAACATATTTTAATTATTTATGTCCTCAAATAATTTTATTATATTGATGGTAAATTTCGTTTTGTTCCGTTTCAAAAGGTCTCCAAAATGCCATGTTGTAATAATATTAGTAAACCAAATATCCCTTCTTATTTCTTCCTTTCGTAATCGTAATATAGTGATTAATAGAAGTGTGCCTATAATAAATTAAAATTATCTGAATCACACTAAATTCCGCATTCCCGCACTGCACTACTAAAGCGACTTGAATTATATGACGAAATGGACCAGAGCAACAGTGCGCATTGCTCTTTGCCCGCACGCTCATTCTTCAACTGAGCGTATACATTTCTACCACCTGCACTTTTAGATCTGTATATGGGTATGGCTAAATAAATGTGGGAACAAGTTTTTCAAATATTTCAATGCCGAGTTGCTGCATAGCGACCGAGCCTGGTAGAGATGTTTTAAAATCTTATGAGCTTTGACCTTCATATGCGCAGAAACATAATTCCGACCGTCGCCTAAATTATTCTACGTCCTAAAAACATTACACCTATTATTCACAGTCTCTCTCGAGCTCTGGCGTAAACAAGCCTTTGATCCGATTACAAATATCATAATAAAATGCCCTATTCTTTATTATTTTAATTTAAACAATAAAAATATATATAACGAACGTTCGTCAGTTGACTTTATTGATGTCCGGGCGCCTTAGTTCATTTCTAGTTGTAATGAGGCACGTGGTCTAATTCTGAGTCAATGTTTTCACAACGTGCTTATTAGAAAAATTATGCGGATACGCCTTTCGCGCATTTCGCGGCTTATGAGATATTAAAAGATCTCTACATACCTTGAAATTATTGGTCCTTCAATTGACTTTGGAAAAACTATATCACCTTTGATTCATTGATATAAAAATATTTTTTTGATAAAAGTACGTTCATCCCAATAAAAAATTAGTGAACCAATTTTGACTGTCACTATACTAATTTACACATACAGGGTGTTTCAGTTCGAGTGAATAAAACTTTAACCACAAATAGAACTCAATAAATAATTCCGAATTGCCTTATAAAGCAAGTCTCAACATTTTCACTGTACAGGACCGTATTGGTCGGTTGTTAAAATCATATTATTTACGAACTCTTTGGTATCGTTATAACAAATTGATTCAAATTTTTTGTGGTATGTACATTTACACATGTGCATAATTTAATGAAAAATTTACAAATTTTTGTAGGTCAGTGGCGTAGGAATAGGTAGTAAAGTGGGATTTTTTTACCTCAACTTCTAAGTCAATGACCTAATAATTATTTGATCATTTTTAGATTCTACATAAAAAGGTATACTTGTTGAAAATCGGTATAGTGTATCATTTTACCGAAGATCTCAGTTGAATATGATTTTAACAACCGACCAATACGGTCCTGTACAGTGAAAATGGTGATACTTAGACTCTTGCTTTATAAGACAATTCTGAATTATTTATTGCGTTCTATTTGTTTGATCCACTCGAACTGAAACACCCTGTATATTCATTTGGATTCAAAGCTCATGCTGGTACATTTTTTCCGAGATAAAGTACATCGTATACGTATCCTAAAGTAAATCTTACAGAAGAAATTCGACAAACTAGAATGGGTTCGAGAAGGTGAAACATCAAAGAAATCGTTCTAGCTGTGCAGGGTGTGATGTTTAGTATCGATTTTTCAAAGCGATTGAAATACGTTCACCTTCTTTAAAGCGTCTGTATAGTAGAAGTAAATATATACGATATACATATTTATCAATTTTTTCTCCTGCTAGGTTCTAACGTCTTTATAGTCTCGAAGGCGTTGTAAAATATTTAAATATGAATATGACACCCTTCACTTTCTTAAACCAGTCTCTATTTCAGGGCAATGGTCTCAGATTTAACTCGAGAAAACAGTCGAGAAGAATATATTCTGGTAAAGGATCGGAGGCCTTACTACAAATGTCCTAGATGCAGGATTAATTGACTCTTTTGACCGTCATGGTGGTAAGTTCTTTTTTGATTAATTAATTTAATTATACCTTGACTGTGATCCCCAAGATTACTGGGACATACGTATTAAAGGAAATGACTAATGTTGTACTGTGTGTGAACGCATTATAAATTCTTTTTAAAAAAATAAAGTGACAAGACATTTGAAGAACCATGCCTCGTTCAGCGTTGAAGACTGTATTTCTCTATGAACTTACAGACGCCTTTCTTTCAAGCAATATTCCATTCAACAAACTAGAGAACCCCAAGTTCCGTAATTCCGTAAATTGAAATCGCATGGATTATCCATAAATGAACAATTTGATATAATGGATGATGTACAAAAAATGTATACGATGCCAATAATATACGCCCAGTCAGTAGTACGATTATAGAAAAAATGTAAAGATTGTTGGAAAAAATCCAGTATACACCATTTTGGAAAACATATGTAAAGTTTTATCTGGTACGTATCAGGAGTTACCAGCAAATATATTAATATATAGTTCACAATTTCTCATACCGTCCGTTGTCAACAGTAGACGTTGAACGATCATTTTCCCTACACAAGTTAATATTAAGTGATAAACGTCGCCGTTTCACTAAAGAAAACTTGAAAAAATACGTAGTGATATGTTTTAACTCCTTCCAATATGCCACGGAAGCCTTGTCTCAACACTAAGGTTAATCGGGTAAGTGGTGTCATTTAAATTTATATAAGTATTTTATCATCTACTTAGCCTTGCTTTTTGGTAATAGTACTATGTTGCGACATATTTTCTGTAAACGTATTCATATTTTCATTCATAATCTGACTACGGTCCTGTTAAACTTCGCGCCGCACTAAGCCTATTCATCAACATAAGCAATAGTCTCTACGAGAAAAAAGTTATTTCGATTGTAGTAAACTGCTTTCTAGCGGCTACTAATGAAATTTTTCTCTAATTTGCGTCATGGAGCTTAGACTACGTAGTGCAATTGTCAAATATGATGTTGATAGCAAAAGTTATTCCAAAAAATTTGGATTAAAAAAATTTAACTTTGACAAACTATATCTTGAAAACAATTGATATTTAGAAAAAAATTCCTTACTAATTACTATTATTTTATCATGCTGAGTCATCCCCTTAAGATTTAGAACACCCCGTATATTCTATTAGCAATGACATATTCAATTTTAGTTAAAGAATCCTTTTAATTGCGAAGTTCTTTTTATTAACAGAGAAGGTGATTTTTTAAATAAAAAAAAGTTTCTATGAATCTTCAGCTGCCCATTTTAAGAAAAGAAAATATATTATTGTCCAGCTGGAATAAATTTGATACACGCTTGTAGTTCCTAGAAAGCTTTATTTCCGACCAATGGAATAGGAGGATTCACCTTCTTTATTATCGAAGAACGTACTTTTAGGATAAATAAAAATAAAAAAATTGACGACTTTATTAAGTATCATGATAATAAACACTGGAATTCTTTCCGCCTTTTTACCATAAAAGCAATATGTGTATTGTTTTATATTCCCTTATAAAATTATTTTTCGTTCCTTTTTGACCTGTCATGTCGAACCAGATGTTGCCTTAGGTATACTTTTTATTTAGATTCTGTCTCATCCCTTTTCCATTCGACACAATATCTAAGATATTCAGAAAACTGATAAATCTGAACTTATTATTAGACAATATTACTATTTTCATACCTGCAAATGTCGTAGTCACTTATGAGTAGGGCTGTCAGAATTGACCCGCGAGACATAGGCGTACGCATTATTTATTAAAAACCAACAAATTAAATTGTCTACAATACACCACCATAGCTACCAACGGATAGAAATTAATTACACAACATCTGCACGATAAAAAAGCAACAGTATATTAGCGTGACCTGAACGTGAAAAGCATTTTGAGGCAGCGGCTTACGCATGCCTCGGTTGACCCGCTTAGCACGTTATTGAATTGCGGCTCTCTCTGACAGCCTTAGTTACGAGAACGAAGTTTTATAAAAACTATAAATTGTTGGGTGAATAGAGCATACATTTATAGATTCCTATAAGTGCTTATGTGCTGAGAAATATTACCAAACTTGAGTTGTTTTTTTGAAAATTACACTTTTTATGTTTGTATCACAAAGCTAAAATAAAATTTTTATAGACAGATCGTATCCACTCAGCAATTGTATTGTAGACAGGCCACGAAGTTATTGCATCATTTAATAAAAACTTTGGGGACAACATCAAGAAACAAACACAAGAAACTTTCGTTCAATCAAATTAAATCAAGTTTCTTTTCGCTAATTGATATCAACCTTTACTGGTTTCTTTCACAATGTGCCTCGATTTTTCGGATTCCCAAGGGTTCACTACAGCCATTCAAAAGTTAATAAAGGCTTTACTTTATTTTTAGGTTTAGCAAAGTGAATGGTAAACCTTAATTTTATTCTTCCCTTTTAGTGTCCTTGATAAAAATTTTATTATAAAATACAATTGGAACAAGTGAAAGTAGCGTTAATAAAAACTTTCGATTCCATTAATTCATGAATTTTGTTTCTACAACTAAATATAATACATTGCCAATGATTAGAACAGGTTAAATGAATTTAAAATATTTTATTTTCACATCCATAAAGAATAAGAATAACTTAATGCTGAAATTTAATTATAATTTTACTAAATGGAGTATTTCACATACTATTCTACACTCCTTATCTTATTTATCTTTCTGTCTAAGAAGACAAGGTAAGATTTGTTTAGTAAATTTAAAAGCGGAAAATATACTATCGTATGGAATTCATGGCAACCTTGATTATGTGCGAGATCAGTAAGTAAATCAAAATATTCTGCAAACTAGTATCAAATTATAATTAGGAAAAAAAGAAGTATCGAGAAAACGACATATATTTCTCGTGTTCCATTAAAAAACAAAAGTTTGATATATATTTTCGAAATGCAACAGTCAATTGTTTTTTATGTGGTATTGCTTTAAAATCCCATGCAAATTTCCCAAAACATTCGTCTTTACCATTCCTCCCTACGTAGAAAGATAAAAGAATAAGGTAGTAAAGTACAGGAGGAACTTTTTCGATGTGAAAATTGAATAAGTTTTCCTATTAGGATCTGGAATTTTTTAACCTGTTTGTATTAAATTCCAGTAGAAGTCGTGGCATTATTAATATCGAACTGAAATAAACACATATTTTCTCCAACTAGCTTCACTGCGCACATAGTATTGAAAAGTTGATTAAAAAAAGTATCTTGTAAGAATTTCATTATTTCTGATGTCGTGAAATGTAAGAACAAAAAATAAAATGGCTTTTTTCATTGGTTCACACTCTTTTAACATGCTATTTGAAAAGTAAAAGTAATATACAAGCGAAACATTTCTGTCACTTTCGATTACAACCTGGATTTTTCAGTTTCGTAAAACTGCAGTAGAAAGTAATTTTGAAGAGATAAAAAAAGTTGTTACCAGAATTTCGCTGTTAATACAGAAGTCGAAGAAATATGAAAAAATCAAAAGCATGGTTTTTGTTGCTGGTTGATATACAGGGTGGTATCACTTTAAATGCAGATACTGCAGGAATAGAGTAATTGCCAAATAATAAGTAGAGTTCTATAAGCTTTTTTTTTTGGGAGGGGGGGGGGCGGTATTTGAGATACAGGGTGTTAAAGTTTACAAAAAAATATTTTTTTCTGTCATATCCTCGTATGGAATTGACGAAATTGAATAAAATTTACTACAGCGTATTCACTTAATTAGACCTTTTATTGAATGTAATATTAACCTTGTGGCTTTAACCAGCGCCGTCCATTTTCCCAAGAAAAAAATACGCCACTGGCGATTTTTTGTAGAAATAATATTAAATTCAGATACTGTTACGTTAAATGAATGAAAAATGTTTCTTGATGTTTTCTAATAGTAGTGTTTTTGGTAAATAATCTATTCCTGCAGGTTTCACTATGCTGTACCAAATAATAGAAACAACACACACTGAATTTTTTAAATTAATTAATGAATTCTCTTAAATGATTTATAAACTATAACTAAAACAAATTTTAATGAAAATTTGTAATTTCTTTAAGTAGGTAGTTCCACTATGCCATTACAGTATGAGCATGTGCAGCTGATAATAAAGTATCTCGTATATTGAGTAATTATAATAAAATCTGTTGGGGAAAAATGATCTTTCAACTTGATTGCAGGAAAAAGTGACCCATTAAATTGTGTCATATCGTGTAAAGTATTGTAAGCAGGGAGATTTCTTCCAAGAAGATCGTAAATCTGAAAATAAAAAGGACAATTAGCGAGGAATATAAATATTTTCCTCATAGAATCCCCTTATTCTTGAAAAATAGCGCTGCGACGTGAGCTTAGCGCTTCTTTATTCTCTAATTATATTAAGTACAATGTATTTAAGCGCAAAAAGCTTTTTCGAGGGCATTCTCGTTTCAGTACTTTTCGCCCTCACTGAATGGGCTTTCCCGTCACATTACATCTATTTAAGGGCATTTACCATTCTGCCATTACACCATAGCCGGCACGAAACTGGATTTGGGAAATAGAATAACGATCAGGGCATTACTTATAAAATTAATGTCAAATGTCGCTGGAAAGCGTAGTGACATTATCAAATTTTATTTTATGTTTTTTTAATTCATTTAATGCCCTACTAGTCTATCATATTGTAATAATCTGTACTGGGATCCATTAAATGAGAAATAACGTCCTAGGACAAATTAAAAATGCGTTACCATGGAAATAAATACAGTTTAAACGTCAAACAAATGTCATACATGCTGTATTTAACAACATTTTCGCATTAAATAACAGACTGGTAGGATATTAAACGTTGAAGGTACCACGGGTGTTATTAGGATAACAGCTCTCTCGGACCAGAGGTCCTTGGGAAGTGCATAACAACCTCGGTACAATATTATCCTTATAACACCCTAGGTACCTAAATTATTATTATAAATGAGCAAATAATAATAATTTTGCTTCGTTTCACTTTGTTTAGATAAATT